CAAGAGACCTTTCCCTTGAGGAGGGAAAGACCTTTTCTTGAGGAGGGTGAAAGCCAGGCTGGACACGTGGTTTTGTTAGAGCAAAGATGGGATGCTTTCTTCAGGCAACCACATGCCCCACTGGGACCTCTGGTGCTGTTTGGGACTATTTTACGTACTCTGTAGTATCACTTTGTCCACAGGAGCCTCTTCAAGGCAATTCTCACTTCTGTATTCCTCAGGCTATAGATAACAGGGTTGACCATGGGGGTCACAATTGTGTAAAACAGGGCCAGGTATTTGTCAGTGTCTCCAGAATCCCTTGACCGTTGCTTTAAGTAGATGACTGTGGCCGAGCCATAGAAGAGTGTCACCGTCCCGAGGTGTGAAGAGCAGGTGGCAAAGGCTTTGTGTCTGCCCAGAACTGAAGGTATTTTCAGAATTGCCCTGATAATTTTAATGTAAGAAATAACTATTAAGGAGAAGGGAAGGATTGCAAACACCAGGATGATAGTGTGCAGCACCAGTTGGTTCCAGAAAGTGTCTGCACAAGCCAGTTCCAGCAGAGGGGGGACATCACAGAAAAAGTGATGAAGGTCATGGGATGCACAGAAGGGCAAAGTGAAAACCTGGTAGGTCTGTCCTACTTGCACTGGTATGACAACCAGCCACAACCCCACCACCAGCCTGATGCAGAGACCCCTGCTCATGATGAGGGTATAGTGCAGGGGGTCACATATGGCTATGCAGCGGTCGTAGGCCATGGCAGTCAGGAGGAGGCATTCAATGCTGCCCAAGGAAACCAGGAAATACAGCTGGGCAGCACAGCCAAGGAAGGAGATCCTGCCATCTGCCAGCAGGAAACCCATCAGCATTTTTGGCAGAGTGACTGATGTGTAGCAGATCTCCAGGACAGACAAGTTCCTCAGGAAGAAATACATGGGGCTGTGGAGGCTTGAGTCCACCACGGTGATGAGTGCGATCATGCTGTTCCCTGTGAGGACCACGAGGTAGATGACCAGGAATACTGTGAAGCACATTCCCTGCAGGCTGGAGAGCTCAGCAAATCCCAGAAGAATGAATCCAGATCCAACGGTGTGATTCTCCAAGCCTTTCCTTTGGGGCATTTTCTCTCCGCAGAGCAATCCAAGCAACGGGCTCTTAGGGGATGCTGGTGGCCTGTCCACCGTCACAGACACTTCAAGCCTAGAGAAAGACTACAAACATCAGCATACATGTGATTGCAGGATTAGGCAAGCTTGACCAAGACCTGCATGAATGTTTGGAAATCTAGGGTGGTTTGCTTGCTGCAGGGAGCTTTGTAAAGAGAGGAAAGAATAGAATCTGTGAGCCTGAATGACTGGGATTTGTCATATGGGTAAAAGAAACTTGCCTTTCTTTTCTAGAGGTGATTTTCTTAAATAGAATGCCTGGTGAGAGATGAAGAAAGAAGGAAGACAATGGATAAATACTCGCCCCTTTAAGAACAGTCTTGCTTATGTTCCCTGTCCAGATCTTGCAAGAGCTGCATTTAATGTAAGAACACAAAGAAGAAAGAGGGTGAAAAGGAGGAAAGGGATGAAAAGATGAAGACAAAGCAAAGGAAGGCTCAACAAGGAGAGGCAATCAAAAGAAAGCAAGGCAAGGCAGGCTTGATGCTCCTCACATGTAAGAGCTCATCCCCTGACACTGTGTCGCCACACAAAGGTCTGGGAGACTATTTTAGATCTGAATCATTACTTTTTACCTGGTGGAGGGTGAATCCCACCAGAAGTAAATCAGGCTTCTGTCTGCCAAGGAAGCCAGTGACACTGATGCATCCATGGGACATTTTAACAAGACAGAGAAGCAGCAGTTTACACATAAATCATAAGTTTTCAGGGTGCTAAGATACAGTTTTATGTAAGCAATCCAACTGCTTCATACAGTTTTCAGTCATATAGAGAAGAAAGTGATTAACATTGGGGGATCTCCCTACGATACCCACTTTTACTGGACAGGTCAGGCTTCTATACCTTCTGACTGAGCCCTGAATAATTCAGCATGCCTAAACTGGCTGCTCGGTCGCTTGGACTTCTGACAGCTTACAGATCCAGCCGAGAGCCCATTTACTCCCATCCCAGCCCTGCAGTGCTTCCCAGTGCCCTGCAAGCCCTTGCAGAACCAGAGCAATGCTCTTGCTGCCTGGGGAACTGAGCCTTCCTTTTGCATTTCCCACCTTCCCAGAGCATAAAGGCTTCTTGCTGGGCACACCTGAACGATGTGAGGCTCAGGCAAGCGGCACTGGAATAGCAGGTTGCTTCTCATGCACAAGAGATCCAATGGAAAGATGTTGAGGAGTCTCAGTTTGACATGGAGAAGGAATGGCCTCTTCCAGGCAGAGGACGGAGGGTGCTGGCTGTGCCTCTCCAGCTATCGCTACCTCCCTTCGAGAAGCCTTCTTAAACTCTGATGCATTAATGATGAGAAGAGCAGGTCAGGAGAGCTGTCATAAAAGCATTCAGAGTAGCCAAGTGAAAAACACACGGTAAGTTTCTCAAAG